AGAAACCTGGAGGTAGAACCAAAATGTATACTGTAAAATACTTTATTTTCGCTTGAAATTAATTATCGCTATTTTCGTTTAAGGAATGATTAAGTGAAAATAAAATCAGTGAATATACTTTTTTCTCTATATTTTACATTCAATTCGCCAAGATAAATGATAATAAATTCTATGCAAAACACTCAAAAAGTCCTTTCAGCGAAAATTAATTCCAGCTAAAATAAAGTATTTCACAGTAATTATATACTCACAGTTGTGACAAGCACAGAGACGAATACAAATGCACTAATTCAATGTTAACAGATTTATAATAAGTTGTCTGGTTCTACTTACAGTAAATGTTATTGGCGATGTGGCACCAAACACTGGATCGTGATCGTTGACAGCCTCCATTACAATATTGACCGTAGTCGTACCACTTAGTTCTGGAGTGCCGCCATCCACTGCTCGTATAACCAATATATAGGAAGCAGGGTCATCCGATCCAACGTCCAGGTCTATTATGTTCTTGATTTGTATGGTCTCCGTTGACTGGTCAATTTTGAACAGATCGTCGTCATTACCAGAAACAAACTCATATTGGATAGTTGTCAGCGCACTAGAATCGGCGTCCGTTGTTGTGAGTGCAAGCACACTCGTATCGACGGGGGAGCCCTCTACGACATCGTCGCGGTAATATATATTTTGGGAGAATATTGGCTCGTTATCGTTGTAGTCTTCGATATCCAGTATGATATCGTCGGTAACAGTGTTTGAAGGATTTCCATCATCTGCAGCCATCACGGTTATTGTATATCGTTGTGGGTCGGTCTCGTAATCAAACGTGCCGATAGTGACGAGTTCTCCCGTGCTTGGCTCGATGTAAAATTTATTGACGTCTGAAAACGAAATTAACATATATAAATAAATGCATTTGATGCTAGCCGAAGTTTGTGCCACCGGCGCAACGAAAAGATCATAGCTAACGCGACAGTCATTTCATATTAAAACATTAATTCATCACACCCACAAATGTTTCGAACTATGTGTATCCGCTACCACTGTCGATTATGATATACTATAGTATTATTTTCACGCTGCTTATATATTCAATGAAGTAAGCAGAATACTTCTCTTCCAATTGGTCCTGTGATAAGCGATTATGAGCAGTTTTTTCATAACTTACTTGGGTCGACAGCATCAATGGAGTAAGTGATAATTCCATCTGAACCTTCGTCGGAATCCTCTGCCACTATATCACCGACGTCGGCCACAGTTGTACCGGAAGGCGAGTTTTCTAACATGGTGAGAACTATAGCTGGGAATGTCGTGAATGCAGGTGTATCCTCGTTCTCAGACGTTATCTACAGACGGAAAAACAGATTTGGCTACAAATCACTGAACAGTATACACCAAATTTAGCTACTGATTTACCTTTATATATTATTTATATACTGGCCAATCCAGTTGTATCATTTGGGTTTGAATGAGACTGATTTCAAATAAAAACCGTTGGGTTTGTAACATATTTATAAGAATAAACATATATTTGCTGCCTTCATTATTGCGGTGTTGTTCTAGTTGTTATGGATATTATATTATATTAGTATTGTTTAATATTTACGGCAACATATCCTGTCTAAATCTTGACTAAACTGTGACTTTTTCTCACTTCCTGAGATTTGAACATCTCGCGGTCATTTTGTGTTTGGTTATACAGATGCAGATGTATATTATAGTCTAAATACGTTAACTGTGGTGTCTATCGAACAATATTCTCAGTTATTGAGATATATAATGGAATATATATTACCTTATGCAATAACAGAAATAGTCGAAAGCAAAAATCGACGTTGCATGACCAAAGCAATACATTTTAGATAATAAACAATAAACAAGTTATTCTTTACAACCGATACAATTCACTCCATTTTATCAACGTGAATCACCTCCATTTAATTAATGTGAATCTAAGCTTACCTCGATTACTACAGTTGCAGTAGTAAGTATGCCACCCCCGTCATCAGCAGTTACTAATAAAGTATATAAATGATTATTTGCAATCAAAGTAGCGTCTTCATAATCAGTAGGAAACGTTGTAGTTTCTACAGTGTAAGGGCTCGTGGTGCCGGTTATTGTAAACTTGGCATCGGCGTCATCTCCACTGACAATGCTAACCACTAGTGTGTCAGAGTTAATATCTGTAACTGTGACATCAATAATAGAAGTACCTGTAAAATAAAATTAGAAGTTCCCGTTACAGTGTGTGACTGGACATGAGGAAAACCTGGTATATTCCATCAGCACATTCAAACTGCTTAGGTAGTGTTCTATTTTATCTGATACCAGACGGTGAAAACTTTCCGTGTTATTCCGGTCACATTTGGTGTCTTGTAAACGGTCTATTTTACTTAGTCTACGCAATCTTCTGCTGGAATAATGATACTCGTTCATGGCTACACAGTCTACAATTAATTTATACAGGGGGTGGTTCTTGTCTATATATTTTATATTAATAACCAGGGGCGGATTGAGGATGTTCAGTTAGCGTTTGCACATTTATATGCGAGAAATATCCACTATTTTGAAAAATAATTATTGGTTTCTTCTACAATTAGCCAATATCATTTGACTAAGACATCAACAAAAATATACGTGCATAACATTCTGCCGAGCAAATATAATGAAATAATGAAAAAGTAAATTATGCATTGAATGTATGTAATTAAAGCTTGGAGACCATTACTTAAAGGGCGGCATTCGTCGCGCCGCGTCCTGTTCGATATGGGACTCATAGCGACGTATATAACGCGTGTAAAATACCTTGTTTATTTACATGAAATTCGTACACGCGCTGCGCGACGACCACCGCGCTTTGAAGCAGGGGAGTCATCACCTGCGCTTGCGTCAGTTGGCCATAGCGTGTCATTGTTTCCTAACAAGCGTATACCTATGAGCCTTTGCGTTTTTAGTGTGTGTTGCTATCGTCACTTGCATTGACGCTGCAGTTCGGCGTCTTCTACACCGACAGCACTTCCGGTGACGACACAACGTCGTCACTTGGGAATCAATTCCCGCGCGTGCGCAGGGGACGACCATCCCGCTTTAACCAAGTATGTTTAGTATGTATAATATGCTCGCTCTTACCAGTTACCGTTTCCTCGGCCACTAATGCAGTGTACCCGGATGGGCTGAATACGGGAAGATCATTAATACCATTGACAACGATATTCAAATCAGCTGTGTCTGTGTTTCCACCTTTATCGGTAGCAGTCAGCGTTAGAGTGTAACTCAAGATGGCGGACCCACCATCAGCTTCTAACGTCCTAGCTGTCGTCACCAGACCAGTTAAGTAATCACAGTTGAAATGGTCTGCATTGGTTCCTACAAAAACGTAGATAGAATTAGTTTGAATGCCGAGAAGTTGTTAACTCCAATGTGTACATGAATTTTACTTGCCAATTTTGAAAACAAAATTTGATGTTTGAAATATTTCTTCGACTGAATGTGCAATAACAAATTCCTCTCCTACTTCGTATGCTCTCTTGTCCCCATCGTCATTTCTTACCTGAGATTGTGTAATACAGCGCGTCATCATCCCTTGTAACACTAACATCTGCATCAGTACAACCAACAATTGGATCATCAGTCCACGTGACAACAGTACCTGCAGGCTGGTCTTCATCCACGTTACCATCATAAGCTGTTGAATCAAACACCGGTGGCTCGTCGTACTCTTCTTGCACGATGACTGTCAATATGGCTGTTGGAGTACTCGTTGTACCAGCACAACTGTAATTATGCAAATAATGGTTGGTGATTCTAATGTATATGTTTATATGGAATCATTGTATCTGAATGGCGTGTCTTACAACTTCAAAAAAATGATGACGTATTGGATGCCGAATAGTATGACATCATGGATGCCGAATATGACATCATGGATGCTAATAGAAGCCTACTCATGAATGCTAATACCAAAAATTCATTCATTTTACAATAAATTGCACTGCTGAGTAATATATTGACTTTAAAAAGGTTGGGCGTCACCAGCCTAATTTTCGTGGAAATGATTGAATTTTAGAGGATAATGGTAATTTGGCAGTATTATAACGCTTTTACCATAGGTCGGTTCCTATGACAGAGATATTATACCATATCTCAAATTGTAGGCTGGTGACATAGGCTGAACAAATTAATCTCAATAGAATAATGGGGTACTTTTTGTTGTCCTGAATTATTTAAACAATCTTGGTTTCAAAAGCATACACTTTTTCTTTAAATTTATGTTCTATGGAATTGTTGTTTTTGAACAATATTAGGTCAAGTTGCATTGCATGTGAAACAGTAATCACACTCAATGTGAGAATGGCGCACTTAGATTCTGTTTGGGTGTGTACAGATTTGTATCAACTTTGCCTGTTATTGGAGACATTTGTTGGATCACAGTCCCTCTGGAATATAGGGACTGTGGTTGGATCACTTCAAATGCCAGTCACTGGGTAAACATGGCAAGATACTGGAAGACGTTAATATGTGTGGAGGAAAATAGATTATGTAAACTAATATTTTCGTGGGATAATTCAATCTGTGTAAATAATGTATGTGATATTGATGTATATGCAAATGGAGGTATATGTAACCTTCAAAAGTAATCCCGGATTGAAATTAATAGTAGTGTAGAATTGCTCAAAAATCTTCAGTTCAGGTTTCGTGTTTCCGCCTCATCACATTGAAAGTGGTAGATACCGTGGTGAAACAATTCAGTTTTCGTGTTTGCGCTTCATCGCATTGAAAGTGGTAGGTACCGTGGTGAAACAATTCAGGTTTCGTGTTTGCAAAAACTTACCTTATAGTGAGTTCAAATGATCGTTTAGCTGGGTCTGCATCGAAATCCAGCCCAACCGGTGCAAATATATTAGGCCCTGTGTTAGTAAATGTAGGTGAGCCAGGATCCTGTGAATCAATATCGTACGTTACAGAGTCACCATCCTCGTCACTACAGTCAACTGTTGCGATTGTTGCTGTGGTGAGAACATTTTCCGGTATAGATATGGTAGCTGGCAGGTTGATGAACACGGGTTCGTCTTCCATGTCAACAATGTCAACTTGAATAGAATATTGAACGTCTCCGGCATCAGTGTGACATATTATGTATACTTGCTGAGTTGGGCCATGCTCTTCGTAGTTTAACACGGCATTGCTTGTCACCTGTGAAGTATGTGGGTAATAGTGAAATAGTATTATACAGGTGTTTGTATAGTATTGCATTTTAATTGTATAAACAATGGCATGAATTACGTATGCGATTCTAATATACAATATGGCTGTGTCCAACTCATAACACACTGTAAAACATGTCTTTTTTGCGAGCATGTCCTTTTAGGGAATTTAGCGAGAGAAATAATTCGCTAATTTAAGATGTCGCTAATCACTTCATTATAAATTCAAAATGGCGGCCAAACTTTTTCTCCACACACACACACTTTGCAAACAACACAGAAAACGTAATAATCTGGAGCGCTTCCTTATTATACTTGACAGTTTTGTTTTGTTTTTATGGAGGTTATAACTGCACATTTGTTTTGGCGGGCGACAGACAAGTATTGTGAAAACAGGAAATCAACAAAGACAAGAGAGATTCGCTAAATCAACATTTCGCTATTACGTCATGTTACCAGAATTCGCTAAAATTGCATGTCGCTTTTTCAACATGTTTTGCAGTATATGGTCATATACTTTATTTGAGGCAATCATACCGAATAACGTGTTACTCATCAGGTAGTACACATGTTGTTTTTCTGTAAGGTATGTATATTACTAACCTTGCCGTCATTTGAATTCACAGCAAACAGTGTACTTGGTCCTGGGTCGGCATGACTTAACGAGAACGCGTTAGCTAGTGCTGTGGCACCGTTGTAAACCACTGTGAAATCAGTGGTAGCTATAACTGTGACGCCAACCACTTCATTTTCGTCGACATTATATGATCCAGCATTCCACGTCATATCGCATACTAGATGAAAAAGATAAATTTACGTATGAACATATAATTATGTGTGTTTATTTATGATTCCACTGTAACATTGACCGGTTCTAAAATTAAAGTGTACAGTCATAGACCTTAGAAAACGTTTTCTTAGGTCTATGGTACAATGCGCACATTATAAAATAATTCAGTGCATCGCCCTCTACGGCATTATGTGTGATACTATACATAGCGTAAATTCATTTAACATGCACGAATCGAAGACTGCAGCTTAACTTAATGAACATTTTATAGAAGCAAGCGCAGTTACATTGAAGATGACTTGCCGTGATGTGAATAGTACACCTGTAATTGGTCATTCTTCACTGAGAAGGAAGGTGAAATCTTGTATGCATATGTACATATAAATAAATACGATCTATTGAATCGAATAAATACTAGAAAGAACATCGTGTGACAATTTTCAAATTCAAGTTTCCGACCCCGATTATTGTCCCGCTATTGGTATCACGTGACGCATGGAAAAGCCTCTCAGGCTGTTGCCGAGAAACCAACTATCACGTCACGGTGCCATCTTACCTAGGACCGTCGAATTATTTAAACCAACTATCACGTCACGGTGCCATCTTACCTAGGACCGTCGAATTATTTAAACCAACTATCACGTCACGGTGCCATCTTATCTAGGACCGTCGAATTATTTAAACCAACTATCACGTCACGGTGCCATCTTATCTAGGACCGTCGAATTATTTAAACCAACTATCACGTCACGGTGCCATCTTACCTAGGACCGTCGAATTATTTAAACCAACTATCACGTCACGGTGCCATCTTATCTAGGACCGTCGAATTATTTAAACCAACTATCACGTCACGGTGCCATCTTATCTAGGACCGTCGAATTATTTAAACCAACTATCACGTCACGGTGCCATCTTATTAGGACCGTCGAATTATTTAAACCAACTATCACGTCACGGTGCCATCTTACCTAGGACCGTCGAATTATTTAAACCAACTATCACGTCACGGTGCCATCTTACCTAGGACCGTCGAATTATTTAAACCAACTATCACGTCACGGTGCCATCTTACCTAGGACCGTCGAATTATTTAAACCAACTATCACGTCACGGTGCCATCTTACCTAGGACCGTCGAATTATTTGACATGTAATGTGTGTCTTGCAGCCCACTCAACTCAACAACAACTGCAATCAATTTACTCTTCTAATGTTTTTTGGGGGGGCTGGAATGTTTAAGATTGTGATTTAACAAATAGTTCGGGCATCTATCAAAGAAACCACGCAGTGACTAATTTCTCGGTAACAAGACATGTGATCTAGTCAACCTCAGCTTACCTATAATATGTGTTATATCTAAGTAGATATAGATACAAAGTAATAAAATATAAACACGGCACTGACACTCTACACCCACGCCTACCAGAATTTGCACACATTAATACGCTTGTTATTTAATTATATTTGTCTCACCAGAGATAAGAATTTCATGGCAATTTGTCGGCGGTCTGATTTTTTTTAATATTACTATTAAGAGGATATGACGTTGAACTCTTTACGATGGCCAACATTCACGTTCATTTGTCTGACATAGTTTATAAGG